GTTGTTGTTGCTGATACGTGCTGTAGAGTAGGATTCGGATTCGGATCGTAGCTGACCCTCCCTTCCGGTGGGTTCTCAGAGGCTATAAGCCACATGGGAGGAGATTGCTTACCCCATGGAAGAGTCAGTGTATTTGAACTGCCTGCCTTCAGATTGGCAGCAACTTCTTACCCTCTAGGCTGCCTGACTGGCATTTAGTTTGGGATAGGCACTGGGCAGGGCTAGAGTTGAGGACTCATTCTGGATTTAGGGTCAAAGATCAGACTGAATTCTGAGTAGGGACTTGCCTGTGTCATACTGAGTGAGACAGGTCAGGATTAAAGGTGCCCCTGCCCCTCCCCTACGGTTGCCTCCAGTCCTTGAGTCTATAACTTCTCAAATCACAAGAGTGAGGGCTGGGGATGGGCGAGTAGGTGGACAGGGGCCTCTGATCTAGTTCTTCCCTTTTGGTGAGGTATGCCCAATGCCTGTGCTGGATCTGGGAACAGGATGGCCCAGCCACTGAAAAGTGTCTTAGTGCTGGTCTGTGGTCATCCACTTAGGCAGCTGTTACAAGATGGTTGGAGTAGAGAAGGCAGTCAAGGGCAGGAGATCTGTTCTGGGAGGTGATTCCTGGAGCTGGTGGAGAAGAGGAGGGGACAGGCAGGACAGACTTTTCAGGGAGCTGATCGCATGAGGGACTGCATCTAAGGCATCAACTGCACCTCAGTGGCCCGTGTGCTGTCCTTTTGTACAAAGGCTTTTCTCCTGGACTTCTGGTCCCATGCAGGAGGTGGCTTTCTCATTAGGGGCTCAGGCAGGGGCTGGGTCAGGAATTGGTCTTGACTCCAGACAAAAACTCCAGCCCTAACCCAGAACTGACCACTGTCCTGCTCACCAGAGGCCCCCAAATAACGGAGAGCGGGCTTGTGGGGAGGCAGGCTGGCCGCTCGATCACTGGCCCCCCCGGGGCCTCCCCAATTCGCTCAACCCAGCCCCACTCTGGCCTCCTCCCATCAAAGCCGCAGACACAAAGGAGAAATCCCGATTTGCGTCAGGAGAAGGGCCCATAGGGCCTGTGTCTCTGCCAGAAATTTGGCTCCTGCGCCCAGCATAGGATGTCTGTGGTTTCTAAAAGGTGAAAATGGGCTCGGGCCTGCTTCACTGTCTGCTGGAACGCAGGCACTTGGGTGGGAGGCGAGCTCTGGGGTGCTAGTTCTGGAGTTGGGTTGGACTCCGCCTCCTCTAGAGCCCCCTGCCCTCTCACGGTCAAGTCCTTCATTGTCTCTCATGGAACCCACCCTTCTCCAAAAGCTTCCTCTCACTGAGCCTACGCCCCTCATTGAAGCTCCCACTGACAGTCTTCTTCACCGACCTCCTCTCTCTTTCCTGGACCCCATCTTTCATAGGGAACCCTTCCTCCTCTGAGCCCTTCCTCTCCCTTAGCCCCGCCTCTCTCTGAACCCTCTTTCCCCTTAGCCCCGCCCCTGTGTAAGCTCCTCCCCTTAAAAGTCCCATCCCTAAGCCCCTCCCTTAACTGAGCCTCTCACTTAGCGCCTCCCCTTTATAAGCTCCTCCCCTTCCCAAGTCCCTCCCCTGACTCCTTCCCTTATCTGAACCCCGCCTCTCGATTGGCCCCTCCCCTTTATAAGCTCCTCCCCTTCCCAAGTCCCTCCCCTGACTCCTTCCCTTATCTGAACCCCGCCTCTCGATTGGCCCCCTCCCCTTTATAAGCTCCTCCCCTTCCCAAATCCCTCCCCATGACTCCTTCCCTTATCTGAGCCCCGCCTCTCGATTAGCCCCGCCCCTTTATAAGCCCCTCCCCTGGGAAACCTTCCTTAACTGAGCCCCGCCCCTCACAGAGCCTCTTCAGCTCTAAGCCCCTCCTCTCCCTTCCCCTCTCCACACTAACTTGCATGTCTATCTCTTGGGCTCTCTCTGCTCCTCTTTCCATCTCACCTCTGTCGGCCACACCAGGTCCTCTATGTCTCTGAGCAGGGGGCCCACTCCCCAGAGGTTTCATGGTCCTGTGGCCTAGTGGTAAAGAGCTGCGCTGCCAACCGAAGGCACATGGTTACTGTCTCTGAAAACATGTTGGAGGGTCAACTATGAGTCAACTCTGACTCAAGGATACTTAATATGATACGTAATGATAAAAATCCCTGCTGTCTTGTTCCCTGTGCGTCACCCAGCCCCAGCCTGACAAGGAGTGGGTGCTCAGGTGCATTAACTCCAGGGCTCCTGTCTTCCCACTGGGAGGCTGACGTTTGAACAATTGATTTTCTGGAATTCATCCTGAGTTGTGGCTGCTGGGTGGAGCCATTGTTCCCCGGAGGAGGCCTGTCAGTTGTGCCCTCGGTCAGCTTGACCTGAGCGACGCTGCAGGGTGAACCTTCCATGTGGAGGGCTGTGAGCATCAGGCTTAAGGCAGGGTCAGCACAAGGTCATCAGGCCAACTTTCCTGCCTGCCCTGGGGACCTTTAAGGAGTCCAGGCCTCAATACGGAGCTGAGATGAGAAAGACCCAACCTCTAATTCTTGCCCTGAGCCTCTCCTGGCAGCTGTAGTCACACGCCACTACTGGACGCCGGCTTTCCTGTCCTCAGCCTGCACTCCACTCAGGACTTCTTCCCTGGGACACTTCCTTTCCTGTATCCTGTGTGCCAGATGGAAAGTGACCAGGGCCCCTAGGTTTCCCATCATCTGTGGAATATAACCCAAGCTGCTGACACTGGCCACCCACACCCACACTTTCTCTCTGGGGGTCACTCCTTACTCCTCTAGCTCCTGCCAGCTCCACCTGCTCCCCAGCCTTTCTCAGGGGTCCTTGTCAGATCTGACATCCCAGCTCAGCCAGCCCCTTCCTGCCCTTGCCCCTCCCCTAGTCAGGCATCCCACTAGGATTTGAGATTTTTCTAACTGATAGTCAGTTATCTGGGCTGCCAGGACACTGGTAGGTGAATGAATACCTGAGCTGGCAAGAGCCACTGTGTGGCGTCCTTCGTCCCCAGTGTATTGATGAGAACAAGGAGGCCCCAAGGTGGGGACGCAGGGGAACAGGTTACTCCCAAGGCCACCTCTTTGGCCTCTCATTGTTCTTTGCAATTTTCTGGTTGTCTACCTATAGTAATCCTACCTAGAGTTGCCTGAATGGGTTTCATGGAGAATCTGGCTCTTGGCAAGAATGCCTCTTCCAGGAAGCCTCCTGACTTCCTGGCCCTTCTCTGAGCCCTGACCTCTGGTCACTGGCAGCTGTCTTGGCTCTTGGTGTCAGTTACCTTGCTTGATGGGAAATGGTACCCATTAGCAGCATCATAAGAAGGCCTGGTGCTGAGTCCCAGTGTCATCTCTCGGATGCCCAATGACTGTAGCCAAGCACCTGCTCCTTTTAGTCCCAGCCTTCCCGTTTCTAGAATGAGGCCATCGGATTTTGCTGATTTTGGAAGCTTTGCTATGGAATTAGGTCTGGTCAGGGAGGCTGAGCACAGAATCTTGGTGGCCCACTGCTAGCATAAAGTGTAGTAGAAAGAGCCAGGGTGAGGAATCAGCAGGCCTGGGTGAGAATCGTATTCCTGGTCACCTACAGCCCCTAGCAGAGGACCAAGCTCTGAGGAGACCAGGTGGATGGCCACATGTGGCTCCTGTTGAGGGAACATGGCAGGTGTCTGGATGCTGCGTCCCCAGGCGACTTGTTTGGGCAGTGTTCCCAGTAGCTCGTGCTCTGTTCCCAGCCGGTCTTGCTGTTGGGTGGGGCCAGCCCCCGCCTGGGGTTGCTCCCCCCTGCTGATGGGAGGACTAGGGGGCCACCTGGCAGGGGCCCAGCCTGGCCAGCCTCCCACCCCATGTTTTGTTTGCAGAGTTTGGAATGTCCTGGGACTCGATGCTCGGCTCCCTGGGGAGACACTGGTGCCATCTCCTTGATCTCATTGCTGGACAGGTTTCTCCTTCATTCCAGCTTCGGGACTCGGCAGGCTCCCAGGCAAAGCTGCTGCCAGGCCCTGTCCGTCTGTGTCTGTCCCAGTGCTGGCAGCCAGGGACTGCAGCTGGGAGCCGAGGGCTGCCCAGGGGAGCCTTTGCCTGCCTGGCTGCAGTGGGTCCCAGGCAGGCCTCCCAACGTGTTCTTTTCAAACCCCTTTCCCAGCTGTCTCTCATCACAATCCCCTTTGCTAGTGATCCCCTGACACCAATGCCCTGAGGTCCACTTCGAAAGATGTTCTCAGGACCTGGGGAGCTTGGCAGGGCTCAGAAAATGCCAACAGCATTGATTTCTGTTCCTTTAGAGGATCTGACTATATGCCCAGGGAGGGGCCTTGACAAGTGTGTTGGGAGAGTGGGTATCAGGGACACAGAGTGGTGCATATGTGTGCATATATGCACTTGTGCATGTGTGCATATGTGCAGATGTGCATGCATTATTTTCTCCTGAATTCCCAGTTTTAAATATGCATAAACTTGGCAACATGATACAGGATGAGATGTGGACAGGAAAGGGCTAGGAGGGGCACATGGTAGAGGGACCTTGTCAGGAAGGAGCATACACCCTTATCTGGTCCACTTATACGTTTGGTGTACCTGCTTTGCCCTATTAGTTGTCATTGCATGGCTGCACACTTCATATGTTAATGTGGAAACACAGCTAGTGCTGCTATCAGAATGTATGTGTTCACATGGGATGTGCCAGGGTCCCCAGCTTGCAAAGGAGGCATCCTTACCTGGCTAGTATATGAGCTTGATGTATCTGGCTGACATCATCTGCCACTCTGAGTGGCTCACACCTGGACCTGCCTGCCTGAGATGACAGGGTGTCATGTTAGTATAAGGAGGAATCCTCCCTTAGGCAGGAGGGGGGCAAATGGTCTCAGTCAGCACCCGCCCTAGATCTGGACAAATTTTCCTCTTTGCACATCATTAATGAGGAGACTAAATAAGTCAGGCCCTCTGGCAGGTCCCCCATCCCCCAAGGCAGCCTGGCTGGGACTATTAATATTCCCCGTGTTTATGACCCCCTGGCCCTGCTGACAGGCTCCTCTCTTTGGCCGTTGGAATTAATTTTGTGAATCAGAAGGGGGAGGTGGTGGTACAGGCTGCTGGAATCCAGGACGATGACATCTCCACCTCCCCCTGTGAGTCCCACTCACTAATTCTATAAAACAGTCACCATGTCCAACCCAGTTCGGGGCCGCCTGCCTGGCTGGGGCTGCCTCATGCCTCTGCTATGCTCCCCCCCGGGAAGGTGCTGGCCCCAGCCCCAGTGAATCAGGCCCCCTGACACCTTGCACTGATGTCAGTGGGAACTGAGACCTCAGCCTCAAGACCTTCTGGCCTGATGCCTGGGTCCTCGCCCAGTGTGGGGCTTGGCCCCGGCTCACGCCTCTCGTGACCTTCCCATGGACGAAGCCTGGCTGCAAGACAAGGCCAAGCCAGACAGCCTCTCCCTCACTCTGTCCCCTTTCGAAGAGCTGCCCGCACTGGCGCCGGGCCGTCCATTGGCCTCCTCGGGTTTCGAGGACTCGTTCTAAAATTAATATGGGGGAATTCAGGGAATCCGTGAGCAAGTTCCCAGGGAATTATGGCTGCCCTGGGGGCAAGGGTCCCTGCTTCCTCTCATAATTCCCTAATTGACACTTTCCTAATTTTCTACATAGGCAGCCACCCCATTAAAGACAAGGCAGGATGCCTATGTTCTGTATGGGGGGGGGAGGGTTTCCCTCATCCATTCCACCAGTGACAAGTTTCCAGGGAGTCTTTTATACAACATATTCTCTTAAATTATTTAGAATACAATTTGCAAATATTTTCTCTAACTCTATGGATTGCCTTTTAATTTTCTTAATGACGTCTTGTTGAAACACAAGAGTTTTCAATTTTGAAGTCCAATTTATCTGTTTTCACTTTTGGTGTTATAGCTTTAAAAGAATTGCTTAATCCAGGGTCACACAGATTTGACTTTATGCTTTCTTCTAAGAGTTTTATAATTCCACCTCTTCCTTTTAGGTCTTCAGTGCATTTTTAGCTAATTTTGCATATGGTGTGAGGTAGGGGTCCAATTGCATTCTTTTGCAGTGCAATTAGTTCAAGTTTTATCCTGACCTATCATAGGCAACCAAAGCTCTTTCCTCATTCAGTTGTCTTAATATCACTTATGATAAAAAATAATTGACCATAAATGTAAGATTCTTTTTATGGATTCTCAATTTTACTTCACTGATCTTTATGTTTATCCTTATACTAGTACTGCACTATCTTGATTACTGTAGCTTTTTAGTAGGTTTTGAAATTGGGAAGTGGAAGTCCTCCAACTTTTTTTCTTTTCCAAGATTGTTTTGACTATTCTGGGTTCCTTTTATTTCCAAAGAAATTTTAGGTTCACTCCAACATTTTCTGCAAAGAATTCAACTAGGATTTTGGTTGGAATTGCATTAAATTTGTAGATTGATTTGGGGAGTATTGACATTTTAACAATATTGAGTCTTTTAAGCACTGGACATAGGATGTCTTTCCACTTATTTAAATCTCCTTTATCTTTCTCAATGATATTGTGCAGCTTTCAATGTACACATCTTACACTTCTTTCGCTAAATTTATTTCTAAGTATCTTATCCTTTGTAATACTATGGTAAATAAAATTGTTTTCTTAATTTCATTTTTTAGTTGTTGTTGTTGTTATGATGTGCTGTTGAGTCACCTATGACTCATAGCAATTCTATGAACAACAGCTCTGAAGTTTGTCCTATCCTAAACCAACCTCACCATCTCTGATATACTTGACCCCATTTGCCATAGTTACTATGTCAGTCCATCTCGTTAAGGGTCTTCCTCTCTTGCATTGACCCCTTCTGACAACAAGCCCACAGTATGTGTGTCAAAGTTTCAAAATCCTTGCCTCCAAAGAGCAATATGGTTTCACCCTTTCCAGGACAGATCTGTTTGTTATCTTGGCATGTTCATGGTGTGTTCAATACCCTTCTACAGTACCAGAACTCAAAGGCAAAGATTCTTCTTCCATCATCCTTATTTGTTGTCCAGCTCTCAGATTCATAGTAATTGAGGAAACCATGGCTTAGATCAGGTACACCTTAGTCTCTAGACTGACATAATTGTTCTTTAGCACTCTGGTGAGGTCCCTTATATTAGACTTTCCTAAAGCAACTCCCATATTTTTTTTAAATATGGAATGCTTCACGAATTTGCATGTCATCCTTGTGCAGGGGCCATGCTAATCTTCTCTGTATTGTTCCAATTTTAGTATATGTGCTGCCGAAGCGAGCACGCAACTCCCATTTTTATCTTCTGACTGCTGATGCCAAGGGTGTTGATTTTGGATCCAAGCAAGATGAATTCATTAACAACCTCAAGTCTTTTTTCCATCTATTATGATAGTGCCTGTTGACTCAGTGATGAGAATTTTTGTTTTCTTGATGTTGAGATGCAATCTATATTGAAGACTGCAGTCCTTGACCTTCTGCAACAAATGCTTCAAGATCTCCTCATTTTTGGTGAGCAAAACTGTGTCATATGCATAATGCAGGTTGTTAATGAGTCTTCCCCCTATCTTGATGTCACGTTTTTTTTCTTAAAATTCAACTTCTTGAATGATTTGTTCAGCATATAAATTGAAATCGTATAGAGAAAGGATACATCCATGATGCACTCTTTTCTTGATTTGGAACCATGCAGTGTTATCTTGCTTTATTTAGACAACAGCTTCTTGGTCTAGATAGAGGTTTTGCATCAGTACAATCAAGTGTTCTGGGATTCTGGTTCTTCTCAATGTTAGACATAATTTGTTGTGATACATACAGTCAAATTCCTTTGCCTAGTCTATAAAGCACAGATAGACATCCTTCTGGTACTCTCTGTTTTCAACCAAGATCCATCTGACTTTAGCAGTGATATCCTTAGTGCTATGACCTGTTCTAAATCCAACTTATATTTCAGGCAGTTCACAATGGGCTATTCTAGTCATTTTTAGATGATCTTCAGCAAGATTTTGCTTACATGTGATGCTAATGGTATTTTTTAATAATTTTCACATTCTGTTGAATCACTTTTTTTGGGAATGGGAATAAATATTAATCTCTTCCAGTCAGGTGACCAGGTAGCTGTCCTCCAGATTTCTGGGCACAACCTAGTGTGCCCAGAATGTCCAGGGCTGCATCTGTTTGTTAAAATATTGACATCAAGGATATCATCCATGAAGAAAGCAAAAGGTCATTTCAAAGATCGATGAGGAAGAAAAGACCAAAAAAGATGTCAGAAGAGACTCTGACTGTTGCACTAGGAAAGAAAAAAAAAAAGAGGAAGAAGAAATGACAAAATTAAGGAGCTGAAGAGAAGATTTCAAAAGGGCAGCTTGTGAAAACTGGGCAAAGTATTACAATGAAATACGCAATGATCTGGAGTCAGAAAATAAAAAGGGAAGAACTCACTCAGCATTTCTCAAGCTGAAGGAACTAAAGAACAAATTCAAGCCTTGAGTTGCAATGCTGAAAGATGCTTCAGGCAAAATCTTGACTGATTCAGGAAACAAAAGAAGATAGAAAGAATACACCCGGTCACTGTACCAAAAAGATTTTATTGACAAAGAACTGTTTCAGGAAGTATCATATGATTAAGAACCAATGGTAATAAAGGAAAAAGTTCAAGCTGCTTTGAAAACATTGTAAAAATAATAAGGCCTCTGGAATTGGTAGAATACAAATTGACATTCTGGGGTAGTATTACTTGAAATATGATTTGACATAAATGAATGACATAAGCCTAATTTATGACTCAATTTGTCAAGGCTCTATTATGTAAAATGGGATCTACCTAGAACACTTAGCCTAGACAATACCTATGGCCAGTGCTCTGATCACCTGCCCTGCCCTTTTTCATTGCTTGGGTCCAGTATTCCATGGAACATTTCAACCCCTCATTCCTTATCTCCTCTACCTCCAATCTCTTTGATAGAACCAGCCTTCCTCCTACTGTCCAAATAATTCTAAAGATGTAAGGCCCCATCTTAGAGTCTCTAGTGGTACTTCATCTGTGAGTATATTTGAAGCACTAAAGTCTTGTGTTTAAGACCCTTCATCTTAATAAAAAATCATTGTCAACCTCAACAGTTTAATTTTATTTAGATCCCAAATCAACACCCATGGAAGCAGAAGTCAAGAAATAAAAAAAAATAAAAAATTGTGTTGCATTGGGGAAATATGCTATAGAGGAGCTATCCAAAGTTCTAAGGAGCAAAGATGTTAACTTAAAGAATAAGGTGCACCAGATCCATGATATTTTCAGTTGATTCCTGTGCATCTGAAAATTGGACAATGAATAAGGATGAAAGAAGAAGAACTGATGCCTTTGAATTGTGATCTTGGCAAAGAGTATTGGATATACTATGGACTGCCAAAAGAACTAATAAAAATATTGAAAACCCAAAATCTCTGTAAATGTTCATTAAAACTAATAAAATTTAATAAAAAAAAGAACTAATAAAAATAAGTGCAACTAAAGGGCTCCTTAGAGGCAAAAATAGTGAAATATCATTTCATTTACTTTGGGCATATTTTCAGGAGGAACTGGTGCTTGGAGAGAGACATCATCCTGGGAAAGGTATGGTCAGTGAAAAAGAGAAAGACCTTGAGTGAGTGAGATTAATCCAGTGGCTACCACTATCAGCTTGAGCATGATAGAGATCATAAGGAAAGCACAGGACAGGACAAAGTTTAGATTTGTTGTTCATAGGGTTGCTATGACTTATAGTCAACTTGATGGCCCCTAACAATATTCTCATGTAAAATCTTTTCATTGCTGGCTCTTTGTTGATGATCCCTGTGGGCCTTGTCCACTGAGATGTCCAAGACCCTGAAAAGTCAACATAGTTCAAGGGATGCCTTGAATTGGTTTCTCCCTCATGGTCTCTATCTTCTTCATCTGCAGCACCTCCATATCCTCACCAGGAAACTGATCATCTCCCCAGATGCCCTCCTCATCTTCTTTTTGATCCTTCTTTTTTTTTTTTAAAAATTGGTTTGCTTAAAAAATTTGCATAAATTGTGTTTCACCCTGTTCTTCATTCACATTGTGTTTCATACAGTCATTCTCATGCATTGTATGCATTAGGTTTTATAAAATTAATTGCCATTGGACCTCACCCATCATTACCCTGTCTTTTCACCCAGATCCTTCCCATTTCCGTCTCCTCTTCCCTTCTCCCATCAAACTGTGTGACCCTGTGGTTTTGCCCCATCCATTTTCAGCTTTCCTCCCCTTGAGTTCCTGTACATGTTTTACCTTCTTCACCTACTCTTAGTTTTCACATTTAGGTGTTCAGTGCATTTTGAGTTAATTTTGTATATGGTGTGAGGTCAGGACCCAGTTACATGCTTTTACAGTGCAATTAGATCCAGCTTTAGCTCGTCCTATCATAGGCCACCAAAGCAGTCTTTCTAGAACACAAATCTTATCTACTTCAAATCTCTTCATAACTCCTTGTCACCTATAAGACGGGTTCTGAGTGGTAAGGTTCTGACCT